ATGCCAATACCAACCAGTATTGTGGGTTGCGGGTAGCTTTATATTTTGCAAACGGGAGGAACGATGTAATATAGTAAACAAAACCTTGCAAGCGCCTTTCATCCTGAGCCACTTAGAAAACGTCACAATAAATAAACGTCCACTTCCTTCAACCGATATATTGTAGTTTTGGTTGCAAGTGTTTCAGGATAGATATGACAAACAATTAGGTCAATAATTAAATTATATTAGTGTGTTCAAACACCTATAATCTGTGCAGGCTCTCCACAACTCAATCTAAAAAAGGGTGTGGCCATTACACCCTTTGTCACATATACGACACCCAAAAACTTCAGTTCGACGTACAGCGCACTCACGTCGAACTGACGGCCCTAACTTTTGGGAGAGGCTTGATGGCCGATGGGATATATATAGCATAATAAAGAGATAAAATACGTCTCAAAGACTACGAAAGAAACAAATACTGGGGTTTTGCGGTAGGGCCAAGAAAACCCCGATTACTTTTTTTGTAGTCAGTCATACGTAAGTAAGTGCATTAGGTATTCCAATAAGTTGTACAACTCTGGTATCAAATCGCTCGTGAAAGTTGGTACCGTCGGTTCAACGTCAGTGCTCTGTACGTTGAACTAAAGTTTTGGGGCGTATGACGTGTTACATGGGGTGTAAGGATATTCCTTTTAGGGGCTAGCCATGTCCGTACGTCCGTTCGCCGTTGGGTGCACGTGCTCCTGCTCGTGAGCTCACGCGCTCACGTGCTCACGAGCACGTGAGCACGTGCTCCCTTGCTCGTGTATGGCAAAAAAAAAAAAAAAAACCGCATCTCCACGTGGTGAATGATGTTGGTTGGGGCGAAGCTCTGGTGGTGCTTGTCTGCGTAGACGGTGAGCCGCAGCATGCCGAGCCTTGCGCTCGTTTTCATCCATGTCAGAAAGAGAATGTGTGGTATGGAACGTGGTTATATACGCATTTGAGCATTTGACCGCAGCGTGACATGGATGAAAACGAACGAAAGGCTCGGCATGCTGCGGCTCAGCGTCTACGCAGACAAGCACCACCAGAGCTTCACCCCAATCAACATCATTCACCACGTGGAGATGCGTTTTTTTATTATTATTATTGCTCATCGCCGACGTCAAGTCTTCATGGGCCATTTTTTTATATAGTTAGAACTACATACAATAAATAACGAAGGACTTGACTATACTCTTCTGTGTATTATTTTTAGTTAGTAAACCTAAAGGCGCACAATAAAGATCAAAACACATAGGGCCACTCTCAGCAAAACAACAGTCGCTGCCTTCAGAAACCTTCGGTAACGTTTTACTGAATATGAATGGCGTAAAAGGAGCTAAATCACACGGGAAATTTTATTGACTGAATAATAAATTAATACATGGTTCAAGTCTAACAACGAGACATACATCTATCCTCCTCAGTGTGCATTCCTATAAACGCCTCGGTGTCCACATAACGTATGATCTCTCCTGGAATATCTATGTCAACTACGTCACTAACCGCCCTAATCAATTATTTGGTTACATGGAAAGAAAATATTCTGCTGCCCCGGTTTTATTAAAACTTCTTCTTTATATAACTTTAATTTGTATTAAACTTGGATTTAGAGGTTCAATCTAACCCTTGTATTTGCAGCAGATTCCATCTAAAATCGATCCACTCGTTTTATACTTTCCAACTATCCCCGCGAGCATTTCTTTAATGAAACCATCCATTTTCCAGCCTAATTTTCACCTTCGTAGCATAATATCTCTCCTATGTGTGTTTTCTCACGTTTTTTATAGCATTTATTACTGAAACCTTACACTTCGCCAAGCGCCATTTTACAAACCGCTTTGCATATCATTACACATACACACCAATCATCACCTATATCTTTTGATCCCGCATTGCAGCTCATCAACTATTAATACCTCCTTTTTACACCAAACTCTATTTATTGGGACCGCCTTCCCGTAGTGATAGTTACATTTTCCAACACCGTTGATTTCATCATTTTAATTACTAATTTCTTAAATGATATCTCGTAGTAATGTCGTATGTCTGCCTTTTTTAAGTGGTTATATTTATGATTACGTTGCATTGCCCCACTCGCCTCTGCAATACCTTTAGAACCACCTTTCCGCAGCGATAGTTACATTCACTAACGCCGCTGATATTTTTATAATTGAAATTACTAATTTGTGAAATTATGTTTCGTAGTAATGTCGTATGTTTGCTTTTTTTGAGTGGTTATATTCATGTGCACGTTGCATTGCCCCACCCGTCTCGGTAGAGCCTTTGTGTTCCGAGAAATATTAATTAAAATTAAATAGAATTGGAGTAAAGAATGCCCATGTGGTGAAGCATGTTTTGGCTACAAGGCACTGGGGTTCAATTAAGAGTTGAGCGATGAAAATTGTCACATTGTTGCTCATGGTGAATATTAATTAAAAGAAAGAAAGCTCTTTTGTATTATTATATTGCAAAGTGGTAGGACGAATACACTACCACTGTATTCGTTGAACGAAGGGGTATACAAACATATTATACTCAAAAGGTGCCCATCATCACAACAATGATACGCATCATGAAATTGATACCCATCATAAAAACATAGATATCTCAACATGAAGAAATGATACCCATTATAAAAACATTAATACGCATCATAAAAAATGATAGCCATCATAAAAGCAACGATACGCATGATGAAAAAATGATACCCATCATGAAAAAAATGATACCACCATAAAAACAATGATACGTGTTATGAAAAAATGATGCTTAATCTTGCGGACTATTCGCATCTCCAGCCCGCCGCTCGCCCTCTCGCGGACGAACGAAGAACCAGAGGAGCGGAGACGGCGGCGGAGACGGTGGCAGGGACTGTAGGCCGCGGTGCTGCTGTTACCGCATATGACTCTGGTCGGCGTGTTCGTGCGTCAGGTGGTTTTAACGCAAATAAACGAGTGCGTAAAAAAAAAGGAATTGTCGTGTTCGGCTTCGTAACTTTCAAAAATCAACACGCTACTTCTCTCGGAACCACCGCCCCGCCATCTATTCCAGTCTTCAACATTCGAGTACCTCATTTTACAAGTGCCTTACGTCAAGATAAAAAGTACGTAGTCCTAATGTGTGCCTAGGATATTTATCTTGTTCGAATTAAGAAACCAATATTATTGTGCCGCTTTTCAGAAAATGTTAACATAAGAACGAAGCTCGACTTTCTAACACTCTGCGCTAATTCTGGCGAAATGTCTTGGGGGGGCGGCCATCAACCTACCATAACGATATGTCTGGTAATAATTCTTGAAATTGCACAGAATCCCGGCTTTGAAATGAAAAACAAACCAAATTACGATTGATTGTTTCGACAAAAAAAAAAAAAAACTTAAAATAACAAAAGTTTTTAATTTTATTTTATGATGGTTAAGAAATTATTTTCGTTTATTTCAATAGTAGGGCCTCTGAAATAACCGCAAACACATGTTCATTGTTTTCTGTGTAAAAGATGAACCTTTTTTTGTGTGTGTGTGTGTGTGACATGTGACGAGTATTAAAACCTCCGTTCAGCCAACAGCGTGAAAATGCGTAACTGTCTACTGGGCGACCTTTTTTTTTCCTGGTCCTTTCCCCCCCCCCCCCCGTTATGGCGTTTAATATTTTATATTAGGAATCGTTTCTTATTTCGGTAACTTCTTAGACGAATATAATTACCTTTATCTCTACACAAAAACACTTCAGCAGGGAAACAGTCACGGAGCTGGTATTTATTTGTAGAGACATCATACAAATTTATGTCGTCAGATTAACTGCCGGACAACATATAAACATTAAAGGGTTTCCTCCATTCTTTGCACACAGGGCTTTCTTATTTACACGAAAATGTTTAAAACAGAATACACAGTATCAACTGAATTTATTAAAAATAACGCAAAGAATTGCTCTTTTCAATTAAATTAACCAATGAAAGACTAATAATTTTAGTGATATCGCGCTTCCACTTGATATGATACGAGCAAAAAATATACCGTATTGAGATTTAGACAATAAATAGTTGGCACTTCACTGCCTCTTTTAAAATCACGGCATATTTCCGTTTTATATATGAGACGCTTGGCCTTCAACGTCGTAGATAAACAAACGTGTATAGCTTTGGGGTGGTTGGTTTGTGCTCAATTAATGTCAACGTTTCCCCTAAGGTTTTAGACATTATTTAATAGAAAGTATAGCAAACTCTTTAAGGTAACTCGAGCTGGCCAAACAGAACTAAGGGTCACTGATCATTCTCATTACGAAGCAACAAGGAAGCGCGGATCCAATATATACTTATCACCTCTTACGCGCGTCGATGCTTCGAAAACCAGAAAAGGTGCCATCGTGAAACTGTTGCACCCTTAGCCGTTGAAATAACATACACATGACCGCAGCTGAGACAGGGAAGAAAAGGAAGACATGTATAACATTTGCGACAACACACACCGTCGGAGACAGCGTGTCTTAATTGTCGCTTTCTTTCCTTCCTTGTTTCAGGTGCAGTCATGTCAAGTATTCACCAGCTCGCCTGCGCTCTCTATCTTCTTTTAAGTAACAGGTTCCCCAATTTATGTATGATGCAACTCTCTACAATGAAGAGCATTGTGTCCGCAATTAATTTTACCTAATCTTTTTTTGTCAGCCGGTGTTATTTTTTTTATTTCTACCGTATTTTATTTAGTTTATATACTTTCTAACCCTTCCCGGTGTATCAAACGAACTCTGTAAGGGCTTACTTCATCGAGCAATACGCGGTTCTTTTTATTTAGAGATGCGCTCCTGTAACCTTTAACTTGCGATGTAACCACGGAAATATAAAACGAAAGACGAAAAGGGGCTTAAAAATATTAGAAATCGTTAACAAAAAAGGCTCGATAATTAAAACTTAATCGCCCATTGAGTCGTTATCATGAGCACCGTGTGCGACTCTTCGAACGTCCCCTCGGAAAGGAAGGGAATGCACGCACCTGGAGACAGGAGGAAGGACCCCTGCTCGAGCGACTTGCCGAGAAAGTGTGCCGCCGGCAGGAAGGCGGCCACGGCGGCCGCGGGGTTCGGCCCGTACATCTGACCCAGGGCGGGCCCCAGACAGGTCGCGGCGCCGACCCCGTGCGTCTGGAAGGCCCGGACCCCGGACCCGACCAGGGAGATGCCAGACTCGGACAGCGGGCCGGGCGCCGTCAGGATGTCCTCGATCATGAAGGAGCGTCGCGGCGACATCTTCTCCCTGTACACTACGGCTTCGCTGTCAGCCTCCCGTGTCTTGCGGTGAAACGCACTCATCGGAGCGGCCGAAACCTCGTGGCAAACACCCGAGTCATGCTTGTTCTCCGTGTGAAGCGACAACACGCGCGGTGAGCAGCGCACGGCCGCCGGTGCACCACGCTGCTTGTGCGGCGGGCACGCGCGCGCGAGCTTCTTTTTTTTTTTTTATTCGAGGAACGCGTTATGTGGATGTTGTTAGGTCTTCTTTTTTGTTTTGGGGGGTCCCTCTGGAAGCTTCGCGCCGTTCTTTCTCCCGCGCTACAAGGGAGCGCATTTCCTCGATCCCTCGTAGCGCGGAAGGGAGAGATGCCCCTTCCGACCAATGGGGCTTAAAGTGGGAGGCGGGGCTTGGGGAAGTAGGCTCCGCCCCCTCCTTTCTCCCGGTTTGGGGAGGAGGTGGCGCGATGAAGCACGGGCGAGGGAAAGCGCGGGTTAATCTGATTTTCTGTCGTTTCGATTCGGGTTATGTGCGACGCTTAGGGAACCCCCCCCCCCCCCCCTTTTCCTCCTTTTTTTTTCTTTGCCGGGGTACCGCTGCAGATTCTGTGTGACTGTCTGTGTAGAGTAAGAATAAGCGTCGCCTATTTTTATTTTGTTATTTGGTACGGATGATTTTTCTAATTTTTTTGTGGACAGCGGGTTTCCGCTACAGCAACCATGCCGGCATTAGTACTTCCGGATTTCTTTTTGTTTTGTTTTGTTTTTAGTCGTTATTATTTGGTTTAATCTCCGATACCCTTCAAAAGTAAGGTGTTACTCCAACTCGTGCCTTTACGTCCGTCTCGGCCAATTGCGTAATCACGAAGGAATTGATTCTTTATTTCATCCAGTGTCCGACAAGATACTCCAGAGTAGTAGTTGAGTTGTGTTACTAAATACCTGCTTTATAAATTATTTTTAGTACTACTCAAGAAGCATTCTTCGCAGAATATCTTGAGCAGAGTAGAAATACTTATAAATATATTTCAATTAATTTCGGTGATTCTTTCGCACTGCGTAATTTGCGCCGACTTCAGTAACACTAGAATCCTTTTTTTTGCAAGCAACAGACGTAAACAAAATAAAATAGAAGTGCTGTTAACTGTAAGCTAAGTAAAAGGAGTAACATCACTGGTGCATGTTGCAACATGGTATTTTAAAGACGAATGAGCAAAAGGACTCTCCCTACAGTCATACTTCTTGAAAATCACGTCTTCTGGTGGTTTTAGCACCACCTCGGACCCACCGTCTTACTAATCGCCGTGACAAATCACGTTGAGTAGGCATGGCACTTTGTGCTTGAAGTGTGTCCTTAAAGTCTTTTCGTGTCCCTTTCAAAACACAAAAAATGGCACAAATCGGGATAAGACAATATTAAACTTCCTTTTTGCTTGTTCTTTGTGTTTGTTTGTTGATTTTGATACAGCATCTTTCGATCTGTAAGAAGTTCACTTAAACCCTACGGACTCGACGTTGTGGAAAACAACGAAGGAAAGTGACCTTCCTCTCTTTATTGCATCGATCAGCTGGGGGGCCCTCTTATTCTATTTCCTTGGTCCACTTAGACTTCGAAACCAGATATATACTTCGTGTGCCTCAAACAATTGTCGTCTCAACTGCCGCCGGACCTTTCGGTTAGAGTCGGCCAGCGCGCACTCCAAAGCGAACGTCGAATCTCTCGATTCGCGGGTCTACAAACCCGAAACGAACGTCTTCGGACATCTTCGTCGGAAGCGAGCTCGAGTCCGCCCGGAAACCCCTAACGTCGTTTTCCCGCTCCAGGCAGAAGCACTCGCGGAAGCGGTTTGAGACGGCATCGAGTAAACCAATCGTGTTTTCTGTCCTCGGACTCATCTTCTGTCAAACCGTTTGCTGCTGCTGCTTCCCCGAGTTTTCTCCTCCCTCTCCTCTCAGGGACAGAGCTTCCGCGCTTAGTGTCTGAACAGCGCCTGGAACGCGTCCTAAAAAGGGACGTTATAGAGGTGTTGCGTTGTCACCGGCCTTGACATTGACGGTGTCAGCGGGGGCGAATCCGGCAGACGCGCCTCTTCTGCCGCAGGCCATTCTGCTTGACGGTTCACGGAAACTTCGGCGACCAGGAGTTGGGACGCTGCGACGACGACAGCGACACTTGCGGTCCCGATCGTGATTTCGCATTCAGATCTTCTACGCCTGATCGCCAGGATTGCGACTTCCGACGGCGTGACACTCCGGCTTTTGTGATGTCATTTATTGCCACTTCACGGATGTTTTCTATGTATGAGCGGAATAGAACTCTTGAATAGAACCACGGAATAAAACCGCCTGAGGACGTAGGCGATTCAGGCACATGAGCGTCGGAACAATGGGGAGAAGGCCTTGGGGGGAGGAATCCCTCTCCTCTCTCGTCCAACAAATATTTTAAAAATGTAATGTAAAAAAAGAAGCTTAGGTTAACCCCCCCCCCCCCCCCCCCACACACACACACACCACGAACCACCGTCGCACCTGCATCTCTCGCGTCTCTGTCTAGGCATTATAGTTTTATTTTATGCGCGAGGCTCGAGCCACTAGATCTCAGAGTACTGACACTCCACTCCTCGATTCTGTTGTAGGCGCCGCCACTTTGATGCTTAGTGAAGAACGGACGCGATTGGCGATAGTTACGTATGTAAAATGCTATGTACTTTCTGAGCTTGAGATCGAGCTACCAGGAAGTTGAAGCGATATCAATTTTTCCTCGCGCGGACAGCTTTAACAGTTGTAAAAGACAAAAAACCGTCTTTGCCTTGTCAGGAAGCTTCGGATACTTGACGACCATGATTTTCTGGAACGTACAGATTATTTATCGAGAGAACCAAGGTTCAAACCACAGGACGAACATCGTCTCAAACATTTGAAACGGTGTCGAGCAGAGCCGTGTATACAGAGGCAATACATTGGGAACGGGCAAAGGAGGAGGCGCCATTAGTCGAAAGCGGGCTGGGCGTGTCCCAGGGTGTCTTTACAAATTCAAATGTGGCCAGCCAGAAGCCGCGAATAATACCCTGGCGGGGGTCGCGAGAAACAAAATTAGAAGTGCGTCAGAGTAACTCTCGGTGACTGAAAGTATGGTGCACGTGATTTTTCGATCACGGTCGTGCAAAATAAAAATCTAGCGTAATCCGTACGCCGGGTTCCGAGGGCAGGGAATCTGGCGTCCGAGCAGAGCAGAGTTCGAGTGCAACCGATTCTTACATCTTTCTGCATGATCATAATGGATACATCAAGCGCACAATATTTGCGAGCATAAAGGGTTACTACATTTAGGACTTACGCGCTTATTAAAACTGTTTCTGGCTACCACCGCTAGGGGATTATTTTCGGCTTCTGTTTGCCCAAGAGAGCACGTGAGGCACTCGTTCTGCGTCTGGTGCATGCCCTGGCTCTGCCCGCTCCTCCCATTAACCAAACTCTCTCTATATATACGACTCTAACGTCGAGCAGTTAACTTCTTTTTTTTTTTTTTGTAGCAAAACGCTTTTAAGCGGCAATTAACCTCCCTGACACATTAATAAGTGTCTCAGGAGAGAGATCCATTCGTGACATAGCACTTTTTTGCGGTGTATACTGTCACGTTCAGTCTGTTGGCGACGACTGCGTCCTGACATACATTTCATCGGCCAAGCGCGCAAACGCTCTCAGGACAGCATTTAAGTCAGATAGAAAGCTGAACAAACTCAAAAATGAACATTTCACGTAATTAACGTTTCCGAAAAAAAGAAAGTATTTGTTACTGCGCTCAGCGTTGGCCATCCCCTCAATCAAAAATAAACCGCGACATCGGCCTTTTGACCGCGACGTAGTCTGATCGAGCCGCGATACCTTTATGCATGGATAGACGACGACATACCGAGTATTTGGACGAAAAAAAACAAACAAAACACTGTCCTACTTACCGCCAAAAAAGAAGAAGAAAACGGACGCTTTGCCAAAAGGTTCGATTGCAAATGTAGCGATTAGAACCGCATTCCAAATTTTAAAACTACCCGTTTTCTCGTTCAATTGTCATAAACGACTTTAGAAAATTTGCAACAAGAAACTGGGCTCCGTTCTCGCGTTAGCAGACACCATTAACCTTCTCTCCGTATTTGCAGGACTCGTTTGCCACCATTTTTTCACTGAACATTCCCGCAGATCACTTCCAATTTTTGAATCAGATAACGGTATGCATACTTTCTGAAACTTCGGCATCTGGTCCTGCAGGCGCCAGCGCTCCATTCGGGCAGAGACTGTGCATTCGGCGAAGCGTATAAGTTTATTCTTCCGGAAGAAGAAAACATGGCTCCCTTTTTCTTCCAAACACCCGGAACGACTCTAGGCTCGAGCAGTCGTTAAAAACGCAGGTTCACCCCGAACGCCCATTCCACAGAAGAGTATAGCCTCGATAAACATCCCGACGCCAGAAGCCTCGGGGCTTCAATTGGACCGCATCATCTCGGATCGTGAGTTTTCAAATCCTTCAATTTGGATACCGCCACCAATCTATAATATATACACAAAGACAAACTCGTTCAAAATGACCGGATGGCGGCGGCAGACTGGAGAACTCGCGCCGCTCGCACTCTGGCAGCTCTTGTCAAAATGCGGAATGCATAATAAACGAGCCTTCCCCTCCTTCTCGTCCTCGTTAAAGTCTTGAGCCACACCGCAGAGGCCCCTCGGTATAGACGTGCTCGCACACACCCGCTTCTCTCCAGCACCACCTCGAGCTTAGGGGCGTTCGGATGTGTGTGTGCGCACGCGGCTCTCTATATACGGGTCTACGCATGTACGTACATACGTAGAGAGCCGCTTTGGAAGGGAAAGTGCCCGACTGTTCGAACAGTGAAACAGTGGTTCGGGTTCGCTAATGAGGCAGAATCGCGACGCCATAGCGAGCCTCGCAGAGGATGCCGCCGGTTCGTAATCAATTCAAAGCCGTTGATCTGCGACTTTCATTAGCGAGAACCAGTGGGTTTTTTTTTTTAATTTTTTTTAGAGGATTGAACGCCGGGAGAGGGAATATACTATATACACGT